GAAAACATATGTAGCTAGAAGCTAAGTGCCTAAATTTTGATATTTTTTAAAGTAACGGTCAATGTCGAAAATCCAAAATTTGAAAAACTCTCATGAGCTTACACACAGTGAGTGGAAGTGCCAGTTTTCAGTGCGTCGGAGGAACTACCTGAAAAGCGTGCAGAAACTTTCGATGAAGGTCTTACTGTCATGAATTCAGACAGCAGACATCGTAGGCTATCCAATAATGTGCTTAGCTCAATATTGTTTTTTTTTACAAAAATTTCATATTTCTAAGATGGGGAGACCTTAATAAACCTTCGATCAAGGTTTGCAAAATTTTCTTGGCAGCTTTAGAATTAAGCAAGCATACTTGGTTTCATAAAATTCCCAATTTTTGTGGAAAGTGGTACTTGACTTCTGTATGGTATTGCGTTGTTCCATTGGACGTCAGCAAATAATAGGAAGATAGATTTTTGCCAGAATTCGAAAACGGTGTAAGAGTAGCGTTGACATTCTAGCTAAACTTCAGTTGAAATACAAGATCAATACTACTACAGAGTTTGATGAAAGGTATAAAAAGTTTTATTATCCTATTAATTGCAGATAATTACCGATGAAATTCACGCTCATGATCAATATCTGCAATAAGTCATTTAAACACACACATTTCATGTCGAGGTACTTCATACTGACTTCCAATATCAAAGATATTTAACGATTTTTAACACAGAGTTTTCTAAAAGTTTCACGAAGCTGATATTACAAATAATACGCTCTTTTTGTAAAATTTGTGAAAATACGCTGTTGTAGACCAAAACATGAGTGATTAGAATGAGACTGTTCAATGTTGTCACAATTGAAGTTAGAAAAGATTTATTGAAAGCGTAACGACGCATACGATTAACTAGCCTGAAAACCGATGGTTCGCTTCAGAAATATCGTATTTTTTAAATTTTACTACTGTGCTACACATTTATGAGCTCTAGCTAATAACATGCTAAATTTACCGTTAGCATGTGTGGCTAGAGATTATTAGGAAAAGGGTCTCATTACTGCTCCGAAAAACCATAGAGTTTTATGAAAGGAAGGATATTACGACTATGTATTCCACACTTATTCTTTGTCCTAACAGGCATCTCGCCTCTCAGGTTTAATACCATGTTGCTACTTCATTCTGATACAATATGAACTTTTCAGTGTAAAATATGGCGGTAGAGTTTAAGAAAATACGATTTTTTCATTTTCTTCCTTGTTCCAGCAAAGTCTAATGCTGCATCGACTTTTCCGCGAATCCTTCCTTCTGCGAATGAAATTCTTTTCCCACTCACTCTCACGCTGCTTTCTGCCATCACATTTCAATTCGCAGAAGAGTCGTGTCACGGCATGTGATGAACTCAGGGAGATTGCATCTTGAAAACTTTATGGTAGCTGTACTGTATTCTGATCACCATTTCCTAAAAGTTTTCTATTGTTTGGATGCTTATCGACTTCTGATATGGTAAAGAGCTATTTCGACGGACTGACTATGCAAGAAATATTCATGGTTATTTTCTGTAATAAAGTATTTTCATTTTTGAAGGCAATCAAGAGGAGAATTTCGGTGATGAAGATCACACTCGTTTAACAACAAACGATGGATACGACTTTATTGATGAAAATGCACGTTCAAACGAGAGATTTCGTAGTGAATTATATCGTTCGATAATAAATGATAAAATTTTAAAAGATATAATAAAAGAACATGGTCAAAACATATTAAATACGTATTCTCAAGATCTTGTACGTACATTTTGTACAATTGTTGAAAATACTGACGTTGATATAGATAAATGTTCAGATGCAATTGAATGTATATCAAAATGGTTATTATTATTAGATGAAAATGATCATAAAGACTATGATAATTGTATGCATAAAGATATCTGGTTATTATGTCATGTTTATACATCATTTGAATATGATAGAAATGATTTATTATCATTATATACAGCTCGTAGAATACTTGATCGTTTAAATCCTAATCAAGATTATCATGATATCGACTTAATAACAGATAAAACAGATATTAATGATCGAGATCGATCAAAATTTCGTGAAAATATATTTCGTTTAATGTTCGATTGTTTGTGGACAAAATTATATCAGTTATGTGAAGTATATGATGAATTGTCATTAATGATATGGATTGAAACATATACTTTTATAACAAAATATTATCCATCTGATAAAGTAATACATCGTAGTCAATTACATACATTAAATTATTCTGAAAATGATTTACCTAATGGAATAAAATTTTTTTGTCTTCAATTTAAAATTGAATTTATGCATTTATCGTATCTAATAATAATGAATGAAAAAATACCCAAACCAATTGAACTTATTACTGGTCTTTTAAAAGAAAATGAGATTGATGGTGGACCCATTAGTTGTTTATCAATATTACCAAATATTATTGATTTAATTAATGATTATTTTCAACAACAAAATTGTGATGCTGATGCTTTAATGATTGATATTCAACAATGGATTATTTCAATATTAAAAACAATAAAAACTAATGATATTCAAAAACAAATTGATTATTTATTAAAATATTTAAATGAAAAATGTCAATTACGTTTAGCAATGAAACAATTTCTATTTGATCAATTATCAAATTTAATTATTGAACTTAAACAAAAAACTATAAAAGTATTTAATAAACAAAAGACAGATACATTTAGTATAATGAAAATTTTACTTCCATATGTTGTACAATGTCTTCCTGAATCAACAGTCAAAGACTTTGAATATATTTTACCTTATCATCCTTCTGTTATAAAAATGAATACTGATGATAGAGAAAAATATACATTAATTGATTTATTCTTTTTTCATATAAGAAATCGTCTAGACAATGAACCAATCAAATATGAATTTATAAATAGTATCAAATTATCAACACCGCCGACGATAAGAGGGAAACGTTTAACTGCTATTGTGGAAAATTTATATAAATTAATGACAGATTATTTGTTAATACGGAGTACAGGTATGTTTTTATGTTATTATAGAAGAATGATATGTTTCATCTTGAACAGTTTTCTGTGTGTGACAGAAAAAGATCAATTCAGTACAAATAATAGACAATATGTATAGCAATTCAAATTTACATTTTATACTTAAAAAAACTCGAGTTTTCATTTAGAGAAATGAAAACTGGTGAATCAGTCAAATATAGAGTAAAATCTATATCGAGCGCTTCAAACATAAAGGTCTTGATAGAAAGTCAAAGAGCAACGACCTCTTCTTTCAGAGCTTACTCTTCTTTCAATGCTTGTCAGTTGCATTACGTTCAGATTGTCTCAGCAACTTAGGTTTTCGACAGGAGTTTCTCATCAAATCTTTTCTGTGTACTGGTGGCAACCGTAAGTCTCTACCTTATTTTTATTAAAAGTTAGTCGAAAAACAATGGAATACACTTTATAAATCGTTGACTTCAAGAGTGAGAACTCTTGAATCGTTTTCATTGAAATAACGAAAGCCACAAATTGTCGTAGACGTTATTTTTGTGCAATTTTAATCTGAAAAATTCAATTACTTTACAGTTTTATGTTGATAATTCTGAAATCAAAGTTTCCAGCCATATAGGAAAGAATCTTTTTTCTTGAGTTCGTTGTTTTGAGCATTCGGACAAAGATTACTTTTTCCAGTAGTGGAACGTACATGTGAGATTGGCAGCCATTGTACTGTTTTCGTGAAAAAACCGCAAAAAAT